AACGACGATGATGCAGACGATCACGCGTTTCTACAATTTCAAAGAATTGTCATCTATGCTCGAGAACGCGAAAATGGTGCCTGAACTGAATAAAGTTGCAGAGAGATGGCAACATGAACTACGTGTTCATTATTTGAGAGCCCCCAAGATGAAGAAAGAAGGATGAAAACGTCGAGCAGAGTTGTACTGAGGGTTAGCTTGCTTTCCCTGCCGCCAAGGCATGACTCAAATACGGGTTAACTAACAAAGACAAGATAATGCATGTACAGCAGATCCGTTGTGCTGGAGAGGGGAGTAAGAACGGAAGAAGATGATACTTCAGTACGTCCTAAACGTCCTACTGCTACTGTAGTATTTGTCTAAATAAAACGATTTATTTTTGAGGTCCAATTACCAGTTATGCTTTTAAGTAAGAATCCTCGTATGTGTGATTGGTCAATGTCCCTTTTGAGATCTATATGATTGGTTGAAATATGTACAAATTTAATTAAAATTTGTCCTAGCGCTGCGAATGAAGAAGGCTAACCGCGCTTTCATTGAAGCAGTACAACAGAAGTTGTCACGACTTTAGAGACCTACTATTTTTTTTTCGGACCGGACAAGTATGTCGATAGCTGCATGAAAAATCTCATATTACAGACAAGTTTAAATATTTAAAAAAAATAGGACATTCTAAACTCGCTTTGGTCCCGAGCCTCAGCATGCCTTTTCAGCAGGTGATCACACGCAGCGTAAGTCTAGACAAACGGATCAGTGAATACCTATTAAAAACATTACAGCTGGCGTGCTTACTCATTTGGTGATAGTAGGGATCAACTAGATCGTACGCAGGTTAAAATTTTTTTTTATCCGAGTCTAAATTCGCACTATGCCCAATTTTGCACACACTTGACAAGTGTACGATTCAGCTAACCGGTCCGTTGGACCGGAAGAGGAACAAGAGGTTTTCGACGCGCAGAAGAAACAACGGCATTTACCACGTCCCGAAGCAGAATGAAGACGAGCACGGTTACCCAGGACTTCGAGAGCCAGGCCCAGCATTATGACTCTTGACCCCCTGACGTCCATGACGCGCTCCGAGGAACTCCGCAACCAGGATGTACGGCTCGAGTGCCCGCCTAAGCTGGATGACGGCGAGTGGGACGGCTTCATTTACTCGCGGCTTCAGTAGCCTCGTCATATCAAGCCCATCCACCCAAGCGCCTTTGAGCTCGATGATTCTTCCTGACGCCCCGGTTGGTTGGGTGAGCTGATGCTCGATGCTCCATAATTTGATGCCGTGCCAACATGCCTCGATGTCTGGCAGCCACACCGGTGATTATCCCATTCCCCCGCATCGGA